TATATAAGCAGATTACTGCAGTACTGCAACTAAGGTCAGAATTCAGAGTGGACAAACTCTGCTGAGCCAACCAGTTAATAATAAAAGGTTTTCTTCAAATTGCTGTAGCTGTAACACAGAGGTGTAAGACAGAGGTATAATATTGAGCTGTTCTGCTTTGCCACAAAAATATAACCACGTTTATCCCTCTAAATGGGGATTATTATATACTATTTTATACTTGAGATAAACTAAAGTACCTTGTTCAAATTCATGGAACTCTGGATTTATATCTAGTTGTAGTTCTAAATAGCATGCTGTATTTCCATCTGCAGTCTTTTGGTGTACACTTTTCCAAAGGTATATATCAAGTTTTGGAAACAGTCACTGTAGATACATTATTGCATTCTTTACTCTGAAATATGCAGTTAATGTCCTCTTTAAAATGGAAAGTCCTTGCTGTCTGACATTTGAGGAGGAAGGGATATGTGCAGACCTCATGCAGAAGCAAAACCCAGGCCCAGTTGGGGTTTATAGCAGCTTGTCTGTCCATTAGGCCTAAGGCAGAAGAGGAGGGTCAAACATAGCATGAGAGATGCTTCCCCCACAAAGCCTATATCCAGAGCTTTAAATTACCCATTTAACTTCTTTCTAGATTCTAAAATATGGACTCTTTGGCATAGTATAAAGTTTAAGCCTGAGAAATACACTAATGGCAGTAATTTAGAATAAAATGTAAAGATATTAGGAACACTCCAGATCATTTGTTCCCCATCACTGAAGCTCCTGTGTGACAACATGATACTTACTAACTTATATAAAATTACACATTTGTACAGGAGATAAAAATCTTTGCATAGCTAATTAATCCCACAATGTAAGATATACTAGATTAATGCTCAGAATATCTTGATTTAGTATTAGAGACAAAAATATTTCATTTAAGATCTTTTAGAAATTATGAAAGGAATCTTAGTTTTCATCTCTCTCTCAGGATTCTTGCTTAATAAATAAGTAGGGCACGGACAAGGGGAAAAAAGTGAGAACCAAGACCTGTCATGTAAAGGTACAAGATCCTAATAATGAATGTAACTGTACTGTATACCTAAAATGTACCAATAGACTCAATAAAAGAAAAAAATAAATGAGTAGGTCTTGGGCTTGGGCACATGTAATGGAAGGAGATGATGGCTTTCTCTGCCTTTTTCTTTTCTATATCAACATTAGTTTCAGCCATGTTGATAGCAAAAAATAAAACACAACAAAACAAAAACAAGACAACTTTACATAATCAAGAGTATGGCCTGACTCAGTTATAATCACACAGGTGGCCCATGTTTTATTGAAGGTTATGTAAAGAACACCAGTTGCCAAAGGTCTCACTATCCCCTCTTTGGAATTCTAATACCAAAATAAACTGACTGCAAAGTTCGAACATAAGAAATATTCTTTGTGGGGTGATCTCAATGGCTGCTATCAAGAAATCACACAATAACAAATGTTGGCGGGGTTGTGGGGAGAAAGGAACCCTCCTCCATTGTTGGTGGGAGTGCAGACTAGTGCAACCACTATGGAAATCAATATGGAGATACCTCAAAGAGCTTGGACTGGAGGTTCCATTTGACCCAGCCATCCCTCTGTTGGGTATCTTTCCAAGAGAACTAAAAGAATCATATCACAGAGAAGTATGTGCACCCAAGTTTATAGCGGCACAGTTTATAATAGCTAAATCTTGGAAACAACCTATTTGCCCATCCGTTGGAAACTGGATAAAGAAGTTGTGGTTTTTCTATAAAATGGAATATTACTCAGCCATAAAGAGTGAGAGAATAGATTCATTCATAGGAAAATGGATACATATTGAAGATATACTCCTAAGTGAAATAAATAAGTCCCACATGTGTAAATACCAAATAGTTTCCCTGGTATGAATATTCTGCAACAAGGCATAAGATTCTAATAAGATTACTGACATTTAGAAATGGGAAGAAAGGAGCTAAAGGTGTAGGGAAGGTGTGATGCATAGGGGAAGAACAAAAAGGGAAAAGAAAAAAATGTGAGAGAATGAAAAGATGAAAATAAAGTGTTTGTATATGGGGAGGGGAGGAGGGGGTGAAGGGAGGTCAGAGGTAAGGGGAAAAAATGAGAATCAAGACTTGCCATGTAAAGGTACATGATCCCAACAATGAATGTAATTGTACTGTATCCCTAAATGTACCAATAAACTCAATAAAATTAAAAAAAGAAAAAAGAAAAAGAAATATTCTTGAAGGGAAAACAGTTAAATCACTGCCAAAAATTCCTCAGAATTTTTGTTTTCTATCAGCATTTATGAGTCAAATTTGTTGTTTTGGCTTGTCTCTCTATTTACTAGAGTATAAATGAAATAGTTGAAAACTTTAATCAATGTTATTAAAAGAACATTATAATTATAACAAAACAGGAGACCAGTGACCAAATTCTTGAGCAGGGACTGAAGACCACAGTTGTGTGAGAGTCATTTGTAATTAAGAACACTGTAGATTTAATCTTACAAAAGTCAGTTGAATCACTGGAGAGAAATATGAATAGTCGAAAACAAGCCAAAAAATATCTACCACATTACCTTTTTCCTGCATTCATCCATTCACTCAACACACCTTCAAATCAGTATTGAGCATCTTCTATGTATGACACACTCTTCTAGGTGCACCTGGCACCAAAGACACAGTGATGAACAAAGGAGACAAGGCCCCCACACTGAAGGAGCTTGCTCTGCTTACACTGTAACACAGGATGTGCTACACATTCTGGCAAGGAATTGGATAATGTAAAGATAGTGATGCCCTGCAAAATCCAGACTGTATAAGCAATGCCTCTGAAGACTTTTACTTCCTTTTCTGATGATCTTTTCACCGTTAACCGCATCCTATCTTCATACCTGACACAATAACTTGCAGTTGCAGGAGAAAAGTGTTAATTGTTAGCTTAATCAAAATAACAAGTGCTTATTGTGTGACAGGTATTACATGTATTAGTTTATTCATTCCTCACAACTACTCTATCAAGTATGTATGTTATGGTCTCCATTTATTAGAAAGGAGAACTGAGACACAGAAAAATGAAACAAAGTTGCCTAGGGTCACACAGCTAGTGATTGATACTACCAGTATTCAATCTCAGTGCTTTCTAGGACAATATACTGCTACTCTGAATAAAGCATCTATGATCGTGTTAAACTTATCCAGGTAGTATGTCTTCATTCCACATAGCACTATGGAATAGGTGACACGATCCCAGTTTTTCATATTAAAAAAAAAAAGGTGCAGAGACAGGAAATGGCAATATCAGTGCTCAAAGGACAGCCTGGTTACATAGTCGGTGTTCTTGCCCTTACCCCATGTTTCTCTAAGAAGCCATCTCTCAGAAGTTTTTGGGGTACTGAGGTACAGATCCAGGATTCCTTCCTTAGTAACTTGTTCCTAATTCCTGACAACTTGTCTGTTTTAAATATCAGGCTTTCCTGGAAGATTTTACATGAAGAAAGGGTTTGGAAAAAGGCTGATAAAAGTTTACAAAATAAATTTCATTAGCCAAAACTAAGAGCTGACCTTGTAGAAGTTTCAGAAAAAAGAATGTTTTATAGAGGAGTCAGTATAGTAGATGCAAAATATGCAATGTGTTGGCATTTTGTTTACAGAAGACATTTTGTTTACAAACCATAATATTAAAGAAGATAATTTATTGAAGGAGGGAAAGATAAAATTTACAAGTTGTTGACTATGTACACAGAAAGAGATGAGAAGTATATAAAAGATTTAGTCAAGAATTAAATGAGGTAGGGCCAGGGATTTAGCTCAGCGGTTCCACTGCCTGCCTTGCAAGCGCAAGGACCCGAGTTCAATCCCCGGTACCAAAAAAAAAAAAAAAAAAAGGGAGAGAGAGAGAAAGAGTTAAATGAGGTAAGTGTACAGGTTAATTGCAAATGAATTGAGACTCATGGACAAACTTCTTCAAATATACTGTGAATCTTTTTCAAACAACAGAAAAGTAGAATGCTGATAGAAAAGTAGGATTTTCATGCAGACTAAATGATGGTAGAACTGAATAGTTCAAGCAATATTATTTAGATATTTATCATTCATCTTAAAGTTATTCATATTCTATTTATTTTACATTTAGAAATACTGTCAAATTTTGGTAAATTTTACATGGTAGGTATCTTGACTGTCCATTGATACATGGAATAAGGACCTCCTAATTCCCAATCACCAACCACCTACATAGGCCTTTTAGTATCTTAGAATTTATTGTCATGAGCTCAGTAGATTTTAAAATAGGTCATTTTTAACATAAGAAAGACTTCACACGAGGAAGAAGTCATTCCGTTCTTGTTGGTTGCAGGTTATTTTTCAGATAGAAGTTATGTAATAGTTGCTGTTAATGTTAGCAAAATTGAGGTGAGATAATAAACAAAAGTTATTAAAAGTTAGCTATAGACAACAGGGAATTTGGAAACTGATAAGATGCTTTGGATAAGTATATGCAAGGCCACTTTGTTATTTTGACCTTTTTAGAAAATCAACATCTCCCTAAAGGTTCTAATTGCCTATTAAGAATGAAACCAGTAAGAGCTCCTCTGGGCTTTAACAGGATTCAGGCATATGCAAGTGCGGTCAGATGCATAAAGTTATTGGTACTATGCTCCCAGAAGGATATTTGTCTATAATAATATTTAGCCCACCATTTACCTCCATCCCCTCAGGTGCTGGAGATCTTTGAAATGGCTCAGTGACTTTAATCTTCCTGTTCTGACCCCACTCTCCTTTTATTTTATAATTCTTTGCTTTATCAGCAGTCTTGACTTCTGTGCTTGTAGTCTTGGCCAGAGTAATTGGATCCACCTCCAATTAACTCCACAAAAACCATTTAAAGACAAGGTCTCAAGCACTAAATTACCCTACCTCAGGTTCACTCGCTGATATCTCTTACATCTAAAAGACCTAGGAAGCCATGCCCCGCATAATCCCCATAACTTTTACCTTAGGGTTTCTCCAGAAGAGCCCCTCCTCTTCCACAGGTTGACCAGGCTGCTTGATCTGCTGGCTGCGGAGGAAGACTTGCCATCCCCTACATGCATGCGCACCACAGTAGAAGTGGTGAAGGCGCTGCGGACATTTCTCTCGGGTTTGGCCAGGATGATGTACACCTTTGGCACAAACATGCAGCCTAGGGCCACTGTGGCACTGAGGCTGACTGAGAAACACATAGTGATGATTTTGTAGTTACTTCCAAAGTAGATCGGCACAAAGGCCAGCCATATAATGCAGGTGGTGTACATAGTGAAGGCAATATACTTGGCTTCATTGAAGTTAGCTGGAACATTTCTGGTCTTGAACGCATAGAAGGTACAGCTCAAAATCAGCAATCCATTGTATCCCAGAGGAGTGACAACTCCTAGATTGGTAGTGTTACAAATCAGGTAGACTTCTCGAATGCTTGGGTAGTCGTGCATTATATCAGGAGGCTCCATTATGAAAAGAGCGACAATAATGCCCAACTGGATACATATGAGAATGAACGCAATCACTAACTGAGCACAGGCACTCATAAATCTGGGCTTTTTAGTACAGATTTTCTTCTTGCTGCCAGCTAGGATTCTTGCAATACGGTTGGTTTTAGTTACTAGGGCTGAGTAGCTCATGGCTGGAGAGAGACCAATACCGATTCTCTGAAGATAACAATAAATCTGTTTGGGCTTTGCGATGAGGCAGAAGGTACATAAGTAACCCAGGCAGATGCCAGCAAGGATAATGTAGCAGAGTTCTCTGCTGGAGGATTTAACTACTGGAGTATCACGATAAATGATGAAGATTACAGTGACAAACAGGGTGGCCAGCAGGCCAAGGCAGGCAAACACTACAGCTGCAATGGGCTCAGGGTCACCCCAGCGAAGATACTGCACAGGGATCAAATCACAACCTGCAGAGATACAGACACATAAGGAAAAAAAAAAAAAGGAAAGAAATTTACTTGGTTCACAAATCCATAAGTAATAAGCAGGTGCTTATGACCATTTCAGCTTGCCATCCATCTATCTTTTTAATTTATATATTGCAGACTACTCATTCCTTCCCATACAGATTCAGAAAATCCATACAGTATTTACTAAATTCTCTGTGATAGGATCTGTTCTATGTTCTGAGCAAATATGAACAAAACAATTGATATTGTTACCTGCCCTCATTAAAAATGTTTGGAGTTTTTTAAATGATTAGTTATAAGAGTCAAGAAGACTTATAGCATAGGTTCTGGCCTAGGCTGTGGAAGCAGTCAAAGCCTCCAACAATATGAATTACTAAATACATATGTTGGTTTCAGTGAACATGGGATTCAGAGGAACTGGTCCACAGAGATTAACTCTAAGAAAAAGGGGAAGGATAGGAAGCCATTGCACCATGTGCATTGAGAGGCCCAAATGAGTCTGGATGGCAGGCAGGAGGGCAGTCTTGCAGGTCAGAGAATTCTAGACTGACAAGAAGTTGTAGAGGTTGCTGTGGAGGAATGACATTATTTGTGTGGGTGTATTTAAATATCACTTTGGTTGCTATGTGCATGTTGGATGAGATAAAAATATTGACAAATTTGAGAATTATTTCAGAGCCATGTTGAATGTTGAAAAAAATGTGAAAGTATGTAAAACCAATCAAAGATGACCAATATTAGTAAGTAAAAGTTCAGATTTTCAGAGAATTTTATGGCTTAGATATTCTAGGTCTGGGTATTCCTGTTAACATTTCTAACCTAATTGTCCTGGGCATTTGTTGGACATCAGAGATTTTAAAAGACATTCTAAAAGGGATCTGGTGTGTAAAGAAAACTCAAGAGCCATTTCTCTAGGAGGATTATACCCATCAATTAGAATTTTTAAAAATTGAATTAACATACCTTCATTGAATTAGAAATGAGGCTAAAAAAAAGAAATGAGGCTAATAATTCACTACATTGAACACTTGAGAAATATTCAGAGATTGACATTTGTTTGAAAATATTCATTTTCACCTTAATCCTCAGGAACAATTGTTTCATTTAGGAGGATAAAGGATGCAACTAAAAGTTTATATTTTCTAGCAATGATTGCAGTCAAATGTAGCATATGCCTAGGTTTCAGCTAGTAAGATGTAAACAGAAGATTCCTTAAAGGAAAATGATTCATCTTGGAGAATACCTTTCTCATCTTTCCTTCTTTTCTCTTTCTGCTACCTGGAATATAATTTGATAGCCAGAGCTCCAACAATTTTATTTGACATTAACTTGAAAGATAAAAAAAAATCTCTTGAGTCTGAAAGAGAAACGGAGGGATCGAGTCCTTGACAACCATCAAACCAGCTCTGAACAATGTGTGCCTATATCTCCTTGTTTCTTGTATATGAAATGAAACAAAATCCTAATTGATATGGATGTAAGATTTTCCTGTTACCTTGATATGACCCATGATTGAGGGTGTTGCAGTAAATGACTTTGCACAGCAGTGGTTACTGAGACATAGGACAGGTGATAGCAAATAATGATGGAAGGGAAGCATGTGATTCTTAAAAAAATATGTGTAAGGACAACTCTGTTATAGAAATGAAATAAATGAAATGCTTTTTCTTCTTCCTCTTACTTTTGCCTTAGTGGTCTCTTGCCTTACTGTCTCAGGTTTCAGATAGTACTATTAGAATTATTGTTAAATTTATTATGTGAGAGCTTCAAATTTCAGCATACTTTGGCAGATTGTTTCTGTAGAAGCTATAGTCTAAACAATAGCATTTAATGTTGAAACAAAGTTATTTTAACTTAAAAATTGGAGGGCAGGGACAAGAGGAAAAATGCAAACCACGACCTGTCATGTAAAGGTACAAGATCCCAGTGATGAATGTAACTGTACTGTATACCTAAAAAGTACCAATAAACTCAATGAGAGAAAAATAATTGTAGTCCAGGCTAAATATAACATATTTATGTATAATATCAATAATTACAAATGCAAATCTCTCTAATGAATATACCTGTATTGATATTTTAGTCATCCTGTTCACTCAGTTATGCTGATTATATTTTAAAATGCAATCTCTGATACTATTGTGTACCTTGAATTTTAGGTTCATACTTACTATTTTGCTTCTTGTACAAAATATTTGTGAAAATGAAAAATTAATCATTCCTGTCTTTATTTTGCATGTTTATTTATAGCACTGATTTGACAATGAAATTTATTATCTATTGTAGTTAATTATATACAAGTCTGTTTCCACTGCTACATTATGAGCTATTAACATACATAACAGTTTGCTGACATAAGTATTATGTTATGTGGCATATGAGGTAGGAATCTTTTTGCTAGCTAAAATAATCAACTAAAAACATAAATCTTTATTTTAAAAGCATTTCTATTTCATCATTTTGTGCTATTCTTTTAAATCTTAATTGCCTTTTCTTAAATGTAATTATAGCACCTTAATTTCTAAAAGCTTTGAATCTGATAACATTCACCATTTTTTATGTTAGATCTGTCTCTGAAATCTTCATGTGCAACTGATTAACATGTGTACAACTAAAGCAAATTTATTAGGCATATGTGTTGAAGAAATATGCATGAGGCATGTCTTAAATAGGAAGTTTTATTTTCACAAATTTAACTGAATTTATACATTCAAATACATTTTTCTATGTAGTGTGAATGGCTCAGAAAGCTTTATGTTTAGTCTAATGATGCCACCACTGCATAAGATATTCCTGTAACTATGCTTTTGTAATAGCAAATTAGGCTCTCATTAGAGAGTTATAATTACTGAAACTTATAATAGAGGAACACATTAGAGTTTCAAAAAAACAATATGCACCATGATCATTTAGAGAGCCCACAAAAATACTATTCAGTGGTGTGAACTCAGAAGATTTTGACTCATCACTTTGTGATGGGGCAAAAGAATCTCAATGTGAATAAGCAACTTCTATACAATTAGTCCTTGGTCTTTGGTTGCAACTTAATCTTAATCAAGCAAAATTCTCATATAAATGTTTTATATGCTCAAAAGATGATCATCCAAACTATGAAAGTCTTTCCAAGGGTTAGGATTGATAGAGAAATTTCTGGGAGATAGATTGAAAAGACAGGAGGTTAGAATGGCAGTACAGCCTGGACAGGAAGAAACTAGTCAGTCAGGAGGTTGTCGCAGAGGATGCTTAGGAATGATAGGGGCAAAAACTTACTCACTCACCATACTAGAGTAAACAACTATTAAGACATCTCAGCAGTGGGACTGAAAGTAGTTATGAAGTAGACAGACAAGAGATTCAAGAAGAGAGGCTTCTGAGTTGATGGCAATTACTACTAACTGGAATGAGAACTGTCAGTAGAAAAGTGGCACATTTTTATGGGAAGGATATCTAGCTCCAGATATTATGTGTTGTGTCTGTAGTGATATGCCCAAGTGAGCATATTTTGTTTTTGGAAACAAAAACCTAAGTGAGCTAACATGGTAGAAGTTATAGTTTTAGAAACTGTTGATAGGTAGAAATAAAAGACACAGAAATAAACATGAGGAAATTCATAGATGTGCATGAATGTAGAGCTTGGAATACTGCGAATCACCAGCATGAAGTGGCAGAAGAAAGAAATTGTTAGATATGATAAAGATCGATCAGCTAGAAGGATGGGATTCAAGAGAGTTAAGAAGTCAAGAGAAAGTGGTAATTGAATGGCCCATCCTAGCCTGTTCTAATATCACTCTAGTTTTTCCCTCTCTCTCCTTCCCTTTCTCCCTCCCTTCTTTCTTTCCTTTCTTCTTTTTCTTCCTCACCCTTTCCTCTTATTTTTTTCTCCCTTCCCTTTCCTCCTCTTCACCTCTCTCTCCTTTCTTCTTTCCTCATCCAAACACATCACACAATTCAGGTTCATTCGTCTTTCTCCAGTAGTATACTGTTGAATGTTTTATTTCCTACGCTGCTATAACTTCTACCTTTTTAAAATGAGGAATAGTGTCCTTCCCAACATGGAACACGTTGTATTAAATCTCACAATCTGGAGGTAATACTAAGCTTGTTATGATACAAATTTAAATTCCCTGTGATTAATACCCATAATATGTACATCAGTTTACAAACATCGGAATACATAGTTATTCTTTCTAAATTTCTTTTTATTCTCTTCTAATTACTTGGTATTTTTCATTAATGGTTTTCTTTTTATCCTTGTTTCATTCTCAGTGTAAAGGCTGCTGGAAGTGTATGTACAGCTTCACTAAGAAGCTAAAATGTATACATTTTATTTTTTGGAATTTAATTTAAAATACTATCATATTTCGGTTTAGATAATCTTGTTCATAGTACTGAAATTTCCTCCTGAGAAGCTTTTTCTGATTCTGAAAATATGGAAAACATTATATTTCTTTCTAAAATTCAGTTGAACCATATATTAGAAAACCATGACTCAGGTTTGGAGATCTCGATTTAGGTAACTATTGACCTCTCATTCCTTTCCCTTTCTTTCTTGATCTATAGTTTTGGTGTTCTCTGAAATAATCCATCACTTTACAATTTGAATTTATGTGAATTGAAAATATGACAGGCTTTTAAAATGGAAGATGAGCTGCCAAAATGGTTATCCACATTTGTTGTATGAGCTTACCACTGTGTTTCCTATATATTTAATAGTGAAATATTTTATTGAATTTTTGAACCCTAAAGATGATGATCAGTCCCACCTTGTTTTTATGCTTACCATGTATATGCTCACTTCAGACATAATTCTGGTCTGCATACCCTGGGTTCTCAAAGCAACATCCTAGAGAATCAAATCCAAAGAGGTAATGAAAGGAGAAAAGGTAGACTCTAGGTAGAATAGACTGAAAGAGAGCATGACATTTTTAGTTACTAGTCATATCCTATGCTCTGAGAAGATCCACTGCTCACATGTTGATAGAATCATCTATTCTGCT